TATATATATATATCGATAAATAGATAAACAAGTATTGGACACTGCCCAATGACAGCAGACCTTTCGATAACGAGACCAGCCCATCACGCGGGCACACATAAACCTATAAATGCCCACAAGGGCACAGGATTTATGGGGCACAGAACTAAGAATAATGTATCCAAGAGGCAGCAATGGAAGAAGCGTGAGTCCTCACAGACCATTAGGCCTGCGATCATGCTTCTTTCATCACACACACCATCTCGCACCGGATGGTGTGGATGCTCTCTGCAAGTACGATATTCTCGCTGCGCAACTTACGGCAGAGCGAGATGGCCATGCCTGCCTCTCGGTTCCGCAGCGTCAGCGACTGGCGCAGGAGCGTCACCTCCCGCCGCAGCGGCGCAATGATGTCGCTGTGGCACAGCTCCAACTCCACACGCCGATCTTCCAGCAACCCAAGGAGCTCCTCGCGCTGTGCCAAGGCTTCATGTAGCCTTTGTTCAAGAAACGATTCCTGTGCTTGTGCATGCTCCAGCTGCTGCTGGAGCAGTGCGATCTCCTGATCCTTCCGCACCAAGATGGTATCCACAATAGGCGTCGGCTTCAAATTGGCCACGTATGCGTTAATTTCGGCGAAGTCATCACTGTCATCGTCACTATTCCTTTGATGCTCCACACGGATCACGGGTTCATTAGCGTTTGAAGCATGCGATGGACTCGCTCCTCCAGGCGGCACGGTTCGGCCATATGCAGGGGGGTTATTTGGAGACGTCACATCTAGCGGGGAGGGAACCACTGCCGTTGCAGTCACCCCTGTCGTAGTATCGCCTTCCACATCACCATCATGACGTGACACACTGCAAAGGGCAATCGCACCCGACTTTGGATTGAGGGAACACGAAGACTGTTTCCGCCTTGCTGCTGCGACTGCTGCCCCCAGCTGTGACTGAATCCTCTCTGGTGATTTTGCTTGCTCCTCCTGTCCTCCGGCTGCAGACGATTTTCGTGGCGGCTGGGACCAGAGGTGGAGTTTGTCACCGTGCGTCGTGCAGCACGCGAGAATTGCGGCGCAGAGAGGCTCTGTCTCTTCTTCCTCGTCGCGCGACGTTGTCAAAATAATCATCTCAACAACAGCACTGTACTCCATCGTTTCCCGCCGCAGCAATGAGGTGCACGGCACGTTGTCAGCCACCCGAGCATACTCCGTCATTTCACGATTCGCAAAGAAGGTGTCCACTCTGCACCCCATTTTCCGCAGTGGCGAAGATGGTGTTGTCGGCATGGTGTTGTTGCTGCCACTCCGATCTCTACAGCTACCAGCACGCATGCGATCATTGCAGGCGACAGGGCCGTTGCCGAATACCATCGGTGTCAAAAAGCTATTCGACACAAGATTCGCTCCTGCCACCCCCGCTGCCTTGACAGCACCGTTGCTGCGGCCTCCTCCTCCTCCTCCTCCTCCTTCAATCGCAGTCTTCTCCGAGCTTGGCACCTTGACGTACACTTGCAGAAATTGACCACGTGAGTGCTCCTTCCCCGTGGCAGCCCATTGGTGTGTCTTACCACTTCTGCATACGCCGTGGCACCCCTCTACACTTATTGGCCGTAGCGGGCATGTCAGCGTGCACGTCAAACTCGTCTGTGACTTTTTGCGGCGGGCGGCTGCGGAGGAGGCACCGATGGCGGCAGTGCTGTGCACAAGAATTCTGAGCGATTCGGCCCACATTTCCGCATCCACATTCTTACGCTGCAGTGCCGACGGTGTGGGTGGGTTGGGGCGCACCAACTGCGAGAAGGCCGTCACATGCGGGCCCTCAAGACGAAGGGTTAACAACGGGGGTGAAGTTGGCGGTTGCGGTGCTGCTGTTGTCGTTCTTGTGGCGGCGTCATGCGCAGCAGCGGCATACAGTAGAAGGGCCACCTGATGCGTGCGACTCAGTCCAGCAGAGAGCGCCGCCTGTAGCCACGCCGACTCTTCACATTTCTTGTACGCTGCGTGATGAGCCATCATTGATTCGAGCGGCCACCGTCGCTTCGGTTGTTGTTGTTGTTGTTGTTGCTCCAACAAGAGCAACACAGTCAGTAGCGCCCCTGGAACGACCAGATCACAACTTGTGTTGGTTGTAGCGGTGGCCGTGTTGCGGTTGATGTGCCTCTTCGGTACCTGTCCAGACGACTCGTTTCGGTGCAGCGCGATGTGAAACGACAGCGCGTGAAGCACCCGGCTGAGGACGAGAGAGACCGTCGCCTTTGATGGGGGTGCCCACAGATAGGCGGCGTTGGCGTTGTCGTTAGGGTGGGCTGGGGGCGGCAACAGTGGAGACTCTCCTGCGAAGAAGAGGGACTCCAAGAGAAGCTGCACATTGACGTTTGCTAGAGCTGGCGACACCAACAGCCGTGTGAGTAGAACGTGCATCGTATTTGCCGCGTAGCAGGAGACGTGTCTAAAGACCAAGAAGCGGGAGAGCTGCCGCAGAGTGAACAAGAGACGCCTCTCCATTGAGGAGAGCTGAGGGTCATTGTTGTCGGTACGGAGTGGCGCAAATGCACGACAGCAGCTCCTTCCCAATTCTTCTTCTTCCTCCGAGGAGGGAGAGCACAAAATGCTGGAGAGGTCTTGATCCCCCGCAGACGCACTTCGTAGCAACAGCAGGACCATCATTTTGAGCATCAACCGCACACCAAAGGTGCGTGCGGTCCCATTATATCCGTAGGCGTCGTCACTCGTTTCCCTCATTTTAGGTGTTTCCTTATTTTCTGCATTGTGCTCGGACCGCGACAGAAAAGGGAGGGCGACAAAGCGCCACATGTACTGCCAAAGGCCATTCTCTGTGAGCGCCGTCATCATGAACTGGTACGTCAACGGACCGGCACTGCAGCAAAGGCAGCAGCCACGCTCAGGCTCTAGAGACATCGGAAAGAAGGAAGCTGCAACTTGTGATGCATCAACGTGCGGTTCCACTGCCTCATGTGTAATCTCTTCACTCTGCCAGTGGCGTGGATTCCTGCAGCCAAGCAGAATCGTCATTGTATTGGCTATGTCTACAAGGGACTGTAACAGTTGCCGTTGTTCATCACCATCATCATCATCATCATCATCATCGTGATCCTTCTTCCACTTCGCATCGTCCTCTTCCTCCTCCTCTGCAGCTGCCCTGCTGTCGCTGAAAGTACCACTCCCCACGCGCCCCATCAGTTGTTCCATCACGCACTTCAACATGTTGCATGCGGTAGCGGCCAACTGCAGCAGGTCAATCTTGCATATTAGAGACTCCCGGCAGCCGCAGCCACCTTCGGCCTCGAGCCGCTCGAATTCGCTCCTCCAGCCGTTTCCAGGGTAGCACGTCATGTAGACAAGGGTGTAGAGTGCCTCGACGCGTTCCCCCAGCGTGAAAATGCCCTCCTCCCGTTCTCCATCAATTGTAGTGGAAGTGCTGATGCTGATCAGCATCTCCATCAGCCCTTCATCAACAGCAGCGGAAGATGATGTCTGCTGCCGAGACGCTGCCGCCGTGTTGCGCGCACCGCGACTGAACAGCACCGCGTCCGATGTTACTGCCTCTTCGGCTGCTCTTGCTGCTGGTGGAGCCGGAGTCCTTGCGTCAGGTGACGTCGAGTCTCGCTGCCCCTCCTGTAGACCGTCTGGTGCTGATGATGGTGTGGCGGCGGTGGATTCGCCAGTGAGTGACGCGATTACCGGCGTGCGCTTGTGCCGTGCAGATATGGATCGGAGAGCGCCGTCTGGTGTTGGGTACAGCAGCGGCTGCGGCTGTTCCGGCAGTGGCGCGTCACCGTGCAGGGCGCTGGCCGGGGATGCCGCTGTACGTGTATGCCGCACATCAGCACGCAGACGGCGCAGCAGCAGTTTGAGTGACAGTGCCTCTTCGCCTGTGTTCGACTGCTCACCGCGAGCATGGCGCTCACGGTGTTGCTGGCACGCTTCCTTTATTTGCTCAAAGAACTGCAGCATACCTTTAGCCCCGACTCCTTAAAAGAAAGCCAGCAAAGAAGTATCCGTGCTTATGTGACTTTGTGCTCTGCAGATGAAAATGCAAGGAATAAAAAATGTATGTCGGCCACAAGCGAGCGAATCGCCAACCGAAGTGTCAACGTGTCAAATGACTTGAGCCCGCACCAGTCATACTTCCGTATCAAACGCCTATTTGGCACCCGCGACAGAAGCAACACGAATGCAACAGAGAAAATAACTCATTTGAATAGGGCGGCTCACACCAGCGCACAACACGAGAGCAACATCAACAACACATCGCTTTCAATGCCGCAGTGTCCTCTGGTGTTGAGCGATAACACGTTCCAAAAACAACCACTTTGAACAGCCAGTCATTCGCCGCAGGCCGTTGTTGCAGCAGCTGCATGATAAATTGCACGCATGTACACACGTCCCCACCACCCTGTGCCAATTTTCTCTGCAGCTCTAACAGTGAACTGCTCCTAGTGCTGCTGCTGCTGCTGCTGCTTCCCTTCGTGTCCGCAGTTCGCAATGCCTGGGGCGTATGATACCACTGCCCGTCTTTGTATGTCTCGCCCGAGTTGGGTGAAAGCAGCAGTGCGAGAGCCGGCTCCTTCTCGGTGCACCTCTTTCGGTTGAGCATGGCGCTCGCCACGAGTCCTACCTCCAGAGGCCCAGCGCAGTTGCAGCCGATACCTGCCAAAGGGAACGGGTGACACTTCTGCAGGGCATAGAGAACAGACTCAAACGTGTTACCGTCTGGAAGATGAGCGGACGCCGTGGCACTCCTCCACCACTCCTCCAATGCACTATTATCACCATCCTCTGGGAAGAATGACTTTATTGCTGCTGCGACAAAGCTGAAGCACACTGGCACAGCACGAAAGGACACACGCCGCTGCATCCACGCAATAATCCCAAGAGCCTCGTCTAGGCGTGGAAATGTCTCAAACAACAAGAAATCCACCTTAAGATGTGTCTCTTCTCCCAACTGCTCTGTGAATGCTTCCAGACGCCCGCCGTGGAACGCCTCGATGAGCGAGTCGTCCACATCGTAGTCGCCCCGGTACTCTTGACCATTAGGAAGTGAACAACCGTAGGGCCCGAGGCTTCCAGCGAGCAAAATAGTCCTCTCTGTCGCGTCCCCTCCCGCGGAGGAAATCGCGGGGGAAAATACACCAACAGCGTCAATCATCCTGCCGGCTTTCAGTGTTGCTGCTTCCACTGGTGCCTTTGTTGTTGGTATTGCTTCTTTTCGAGCCGGCATGGTGCGGCGTGCCGTGCGGACGGCTCGATCCACCAGTTCCGTCATACTGACTTCCGATGCCGCGCAGCCCTCTCCATACATTTGGTACGTGCACGTCAGCAACACATCACACCCGGCATCGACGTACGCCTGATGAACACGCTGCACCAAAGCCTCATCTGATAAAAGAACAGAGGATGACCACATAGGCCCTGCCCTCTCGAACTCTACTCCCCAGCTTTCCAGCACTGTTCCCATTGCCCCGTCCGCCACGAGAACGCCACTGGCATGTGGAGGCCCACCCATTCTCACGCCGAAGCCGTCGTCAAAGGCTGTGTGAGGATCGTTACACTGCGTATTGTGTATGTGTGTAGGCGGAAGGGAATGCAGACACCCTTCCCTGCGATGCAAAAACAAAAACAAAAGACCCAGAGAGGAGAGCCAGAAAAAAAGAAGACACATAATTCAGTAAATCATCGTTTTTTTTTTGTACCGCGCCAATCCCTGTCTTCCTCTCGTTCCACACTCCACACCTCGCTTCAGTTTTTGGACCTTTATCGTCGAAAGATACTGGGCCTCTTTCATTTCTTATATTTGGAGAAGCCCGAATCATCAGTGTGGGCATGTTGTAGTCTTGTATCTATTTGGACACAGCAGAATCGGGCCTCACCAATGGCTATCCACGTTTTCTTTGTTATGTGCATTTAATTGTGCTCCTAGTCACTTCGTCCATTCGCCCCAACTCCCCCTCCCCCCCCC